TGTGTGTGTGTGTGTGTGTGTGTGTGTGTGTGTGTGTGTGTGTGTGTGTGTGTGTGAAGTTTCAAATCAAAATAGCACACAGATGTTTTCTAGCTCTCTGAATCTGACCCTTTTAGGTTTCGATCCTAATTGTGGTGACTGTCGCTTTAAATGCAAATGAGATTGTGCCTTTTTTAAAAAGAGGGCGGAGCTGTAAACATCTGTCTCAGCATAGAGGCAGATTTAAAACTAATTGTGGGCGGCTGCTTCTCACAGGGCTGTTTATGCTAATGAGGTGGAGATGATCACTAGTGGGCGGGGCTTTCGCCCTTTGATGACACGTATAAAGGGAGAATGTCAATCAAAGTGTTTCTGCAGAATGTTTATATCAAGTCTGGTTATACAAACTAGACTTAATGTTTACCATTAGAGGCTGGCTATATTCACACACCGCCGACACATAACTGTTCTTTAAACCCCTTGTAAAAGTGATTTAAAGGTCCCCTTTAGGAAACTAAATAAAATGAGATTGGATTTTAAGTTCCCTTTAATGACGTTGTCAGCTGTTTATTTTTGCTGGTTTTATAATATCTGAAAATACCACCACCACATTTTCAAGAAGAACAAAACTTGGGAATTATGAGTAGCAATTAATTACATGCAAAATGACCAGAAACATACAATCACCCCAAAGATAGCATGATAAAACAAATGTTTTCTAAAAAAACAAGCATGAAGATAAGACAACTTTCTACTTCTTGAAGTTTCTGACAACCCGACTCTACATCACAACTTTTCAATCCAGATGGATGTGGCAACCATTATTGCATCCAAAACCGTGAAAAGCCTTGGAGTAACGATTGATGACCAACTAAACTTCTCTGACCACATCTCTAGAGCTGCTCGATCGTGCAGATTCGCACTCTATAACATCAGAAAGGTCCGACCCTTCCTATCTGAACATGCAGCTCAACTCCTTGTTCAAGCTCTTGTTCTCTCCAGACTGGACTATTGCAACTCTCTACTAGCTGTGCTTCCAGCTAACTCTATCAAACCTCTTCAGCTGCTCCAGAATGCAGCAGCACGAGTGGTCTTTAATGAACCTAAAAGAGCACATGTCACTCCGCCGCTCATCCGTTTGCACTGGCTGCCAGTTGCTGCTCGCATCAAATTCAAAGCTCTGATGTTTGCTTACAAAGCGACTTCTGGCTTTGATCTTTCTTATCTGCTCTCACTTCTGCAGATGTATGTGCCCTCCAGAAACTTACGTTCTGGGAATGAACGTCGTCTCGTGGTTTCATCACTAAGAGGGAAGAAATCACTTTCCCGAACTCTCGCATTCAATCTGCCCAGTTGGTGGAATGAACTCCCTAACTGCATCAGAACGGCAGAGTCACTCGCTGTCTTCAAGAAACGACTAAAAACCCAAATATTTAGTCTCCACTTCCCTTCCTAATCTGCAATTGCCTCTCTGGCTCCACCGCTAACTGTACTACAAAAAAAAATTACTAATGCTTTCCTTCTTAGACTTTACACACCTGAAACTTGCCTACAGCACTTCTTCATTGTTGCTCTTCTAGTTGTGTAAATTGCTTCCTTGTCCTCATTTGTAAGTCGCTTTGGATAAAAGTGTCTGCTATAAGACTAAAGGTAAATGTAAATGAAAACTTTGCCATCATCAAATGCAAAACAGCGATAAAGGGGTAGTTCAAGCATATACACAAATGCTGTCATCCGTTATTCAACCTTGATAAGTTCTTCTATTAAACAGAAAAGAAGATATTTAGAAAAATGTTGGAAACCAGTAAACATTGACTTTCATAGTGTTTGTTTTTCCGGAAACACTTTAGTTTAAGTCACACCTGGCTTCCTACCGGCTTTTTATTAAGAGATTAACTATTATTATTAGTTATAAACTATGATCTTAATCCAACCCAAAACCTATACCCCACTACTACCTTACTAATTATTAATAAGCATTTAATTATTCGTCTGTAGAGCTAATATAGTCTTAATTAATGGTTTGTAAGCAGCGTGAATTGTGGCCTGAAAAAAAAGTGTTACGATTTTCCTATTATTGAAGTCAGTGGTTACCGGTTTCCAACATTCATCAAAATATCTCCTTTTGCCTTTACTAAAAAAACAGAAAGATGTGGAGCCACTTTTTTTTGGCTCAACATCACTTTATGATGTGATATTCTGTCTTACCTTCTTCATTCTGCCGTTTCGTGTTCCTGCAAAAACCACTGTGTTTCCCCGATAATCGTACGCAGCGACAGAAGTCATCCCGTCATCTTTGTCAATGAAGAGCGGCGTGCCCTCGATGGTCTTGGTGCCCCCTAGAGGCTGGTTAAAATCCTGCCCGCAGAAATTATCATCGATCTGGAGAGGCTGAAACACAGAAACAGGAGAGTTAGAAATAGGCATGGGACGATTACTGACTTCAAGGTTTACCGCGGTTTGGAAAAGTAAAGATTTTATTCATTTTCCTTCAGCTTAGTCCCTTATTTATCTGGGGTCTCCACAGCGGAATAAACCGCAAACTAACCCAGCATATGTTTTACACAGCGGAGGCCCTTCCAGCTGCAACCCATTACTGGGAAACACCCATACACACTCATTCACACACACACACTCATACACTACAGCCAATTTAGTTCATCAATTCCCCTATAGTGCATGCAAACTCCACACAGAAACGCCAACTGACCCAGCCGAGGCTCAAACCAGCGACCTTCTTCTTGTGAGGCCACATAGCTAACCACTGAGCCACCGTGCCACCCCAAGGCAACATCTCCGATGGTAAAGGAGCCTCTACAACACAATCTACTGGTCAGAATCTGATACCGGCCTATGCCTAGTTAGAGACAGTGACAGGCTGCGGCTGGGTGTGTCTTCCTAAAAACACTATCAGAGGAAGTCTCACACACACACACACACACACACACACACACACACACACACACACACACACACACACACACACACACACACACACACACACACACAAAGTTTGCTTTTAGGTTTAAGGTGCTTTTAGGTAACCTATATATAAACAGCAGGCTGTGGTATGTGCTCATTATAAAGCTAAGTAAACGTGTGTGTGTGTGTGTGTGAGTGTGTGTGTGTGTGTGATCTAAATCCTCGAAGACACACATCAGCGACCTTCCTTTCTCTCTGTCCGTCTCGTCTGTAATCAGCTCGCTGTTTTTCTTTCTGTCTTA